GCTGATGTAGTTGTTCTTGATAAACTTAAAGATCTTCAGTTTGATTCACATTTTATTGTTTCTGCTACTGATACTGGTAGTGGCGGACTTATTTTGCTTTGGAAGAAAGAGTTAACGGTGAAAGTCCTAAGTTCCCGTAAAAACATCATTGATACTATTATAACTCATCAAAGAGTTTCTTTTCATGCCTCCTTTATCTATGGTAAACCGGAGGTAGTCAATAGAAACGCATGTCCAATCTGTTCATGGACAGATCTTCTTCCTGGTTTCTGACAGGGGATTTTAACGAAATAATTGAAAATGGGGAAAAATTAGGAGGGTATCTACGCACTGAAGGGTCGTTTGGTGCTTTTCGAAACTTTCTGGAACAGCATGATTTGTTTGATCTTAAGCATTCAGGAAACTATCTCTCTTGGAGAGGTAAACGGGGAAACCATCTTGTGTATTGCAGATTGGATAGAGCTATGGGAAACAGTAACTGGTCTGAAATGTTTCCCAATGGACGATGTCACTATCTGGAGTTTCAAGGATCTGATCATCGTCCCCTAATGTCTTTTTTTGACTCAAAAAGACAGAAGAAACGTTCTTTATTCAGGTTTGACAGGCGTTTTCGCGATAATCTGGAGGTGAAACAGATTATTGCAGAGGTGTGGCAAGCTCATCCTGAGGCTTCTATGGCACATAGACTCTCCTCTTGTCGTAAGGCCATAGCTAACTGGAGTCGCGAAAAATCAAAATATAGCAACTCAGTATTGAGAGAATCCAACGTGAGCTAAATGTAGCTATGTCCAACCCGTTGGGATGCGATACCAACATAGCGAGCTTAAATGGAGAGCTTCTTGTTGCTTACCGCGCAGAAGAAGAGTTTTGGCGCCAGAGGAGTCGACTTATGTGGTTGATCGCAGGAGATAAAAATTCGGGATATTTTCACGCAGTCACAAAAGGTAGAGGAGCCCGGAACAGAATCTCTGTTCTTGAAGATCCTACAGGAAATATCCTATACGAGGAAAATCTTATCGCGCAGGAGATTTCAGATTATTTCCAACAGATTTCCACTTCAGGTACTACAGCAGAGGGAGAATGCGAAGTGAATTCAACTGTAGATCGAGTAATTAAGCCTTGTATTACTAGTGAAATAAATGATAAGCTCCTGGAAATACCATCGGTAGCAGAGATCAAGAGGGCATTGTTTTCTATTCATCCCGATAAAGCACCAGGGCCGGATGGGTTTTCGGCTTGTTTTTTCCAAGCCAATTGGGAAACGGTCTCAGGGGCCATTGTTAAGGATGTGACGGAGTTCTTCAGGACAGGATCGTTACCCCTGCACATTAATGAGACTCATATTCGTCTCATACCAAAGACAACGACTGCTAAGAGGGTTGCTGAGTATCGCCCGATTGCTCTTTGTAACGTCACTTATAAGATCATCTCAAAGCTTCTCTCGCTGAGATTGAAACCAGTACTGCAGAGATTGATATCTGAGAATCAATCGGCCTTTCTTCCCGGTAGAGCAATTACGGATAATGTTCTCATTACACATGAACTATTACACTTCTTAAAGAATTCGGGTGCTGTAAAGAATTGTGCCATGGCGGTTAAAACTGACATGAGCAAGGCTTATGATCGCCTCGAATGGTCGTTTATTCGCAAGGTGCTGCTGCGAATGGGATTTTCGGTCGCCTGGACTGAGCTCAAATTCCAATGCTGTAGTACAGTATCCTATTCATTTCTGTTAAATGATTCAGCGTATGGAAGAGTGATACCGACAAGAGGGATTAGACAAGGAGATCCTCTTTCTCCGTATATTTTTATTCTCTGCAGTGAGGTGTTATCAGGGCTTTGTCTACAAGCTCAAAAGAGTGGACACCTTGCAGGTATTCGAGCGGCTCGACGTTGCCCCAGGGTGAATCATCTTCTTTTTGCAGACGACACCATGTTCTTCCTCCAGACAGGTCCTGCTAGTTGCTCTGCTCTTATGACTATTCTCCGCAGTTACGAACAAGCTTCGGGCCAAATGATAAATGCCAGTAAATCTTCCATCACCTTTGCGACAAAGACTCCCCAGGATACACGATCTAGTGTCAAATCTACCCTTGGGATTGTCAAAGAAGGTGGTACTGGTAAATATCTTGGGCTTCCCGAGCATTTTGGACGGAGAAAAAAAGATATGTTCACTTCTATAGTCGATCGAATCCGAGTTAAAGCCAACAGCAGGTCTACTCGTTTACTCTCCCCAGCAGGAAAATTGGTTTTGCTTAAGGCTGTCTTATCGGCTATACCCACTCATGAAAGCTCTTGTTTTCAACTCCCGTTAAGTTTTTTCAAGAGGATCCAGTCAGTTTTGCTTAAGGCTGTCTTTCTGGGATTCGGCGGACCAGAAGAAGATTTGTTGGGTTGCGTGGTCAAAGGTAACACTGCCAAAGCTCATGGGAGGGTTAGGTATAAGAGATATTCAGATGTTCAATATCACGCTATTGGCTAAGCAAGCCTGGAGAGTGCTTACTGCCCCGGAATGTTTACTTTCTCCCATTCTAATCGGGAAGTATTGTCAGAATAGTGGTTTCCTGGAGGTTTCGCCACAGTCGAACTCTTCTCATGGGTGGAGGAGTATTTTGTTGGGTCGTGACTTGCTCATTACTCAATTAGGAAAGGCCATTGGAGATGGAAATTCTACGCGGGTTTGGCAGGATCGTTGGATTCTTGCTGGTAATATAGGAACCCCGTCTGGTCCCCCAAAGGAAGTTGATCGTGATCTCATGGTAGCAGACCTTTTGACTAGAGGAACAAATGATTGGAACACTACGAAAGTTAAGGCCTTGTTCCCGTTAATAGAGAAGGAGATCACCAGCATTATTCCTAGTAGTTTGGGAGCTTCTGATAAATATATCTGGATTCCTAATAAAGATGGTATTTATACTACTAAGTCAGGATATATTACAGCAGCAAAATGGAGAGCAATTCTCGACAACGGTGAGGAGTCGTTACTCGAATTGGAATGGACTAAGAAGGTCTGGTCTGCTCCCTGTCTCCCAGAGATCAAATTGTTCTTCTGGAAATTATTCCAAGGAGATCTGCCTCTCGGAGTTAACTTAGTAAAGAGAGGCTGCGGAGCAGCTGTAAACTGTCCAAGGTGTGGTCAACAAGAAACAGCAGAGCACTTGATTTTATCATGTCTGTTTGCGAAACAGGTTTGGGCGGAAGCCCCTCTTCATAGAGAATTCTCCCCTGACCTTTTTAACTGCTTGAGTGATGCTGTAGTATCGGGGATGAGAGCCCTTTGTCTCCCACCTACGGGTGTTACTTCGCCGCTTTTCCCTTGGGTTTGCTGGGGCTTATGGACAGCTAGGAATAAATTGATTTTTGAGAAACAGTTATTGTCCCCTGCAGAGGTTATGTCTAACTCCATCAAATGTGCGCAAGAATGGTGTTTTGCCCAATCATCATCGATGAGCCTAACCCCTGTGATTCGATCTTTTATCTCAACCCATCACTCTCCCGATAATTATATATTGTTATTCACTGATGCAGCGTGGAGATCTTCTGATGGTGCTACGGGGTGCGGTTGGATCTTTCAAGACTCGGGTCGGCAGATTACTCAGCATGGTTCTAAGTGCTTCGACCAAATTCCTTATGTTCTGATGGGAGAAGCTTTAGCAGTCCGTCTGGCACTCTCTCATGCACTTGCATTGGGTTTCAACAAAGTCTGTGTTTTTTCAGACTGTCAATTGCTCATAAAAGCAATTCTTTCGAAGTCACCACCGGTCGAGCTCTACGGAATTGTCCGGGACATCGAAGTCCTATCTTCTTGATTTGATTATTGTTCTTTCTCTTTTATCTCTCGTTCTCAAAATTCCGAGGCAGACTTACTAGCTAAGTCGGTGCTCTGTAATGTTGAACTCCTCTCAGGATAGTCTTCTTGAGATGCTATTTTAATCTAAGTGTTTTGTGTTCAAAAAAAAAAGAACGCCAGAAGACAAATTAAAAAATAAACCCGCACATCGTATCTTAACATATCTAGTTGACTGATTCAAACATCGTCGCTCATTTCCCTTCTTTCACCAAGCTCAAGAAAAATATGACGTTCTTACATGCTTAATATTTACTAATCAATCATGCAAATACCTTTTGACTTTGCTGATTATGTAAACAATGTGAGTATCCTGGTACTAATCAGCTCACCTGGCTGCAGAACTCAGTTCAACCCTTTCACCTACGACTCTAATCAGTCAACTCAATCTCTCTCCACCGCAGAATCAGAACCATCTTATCCATCTCAAGCCTCCCTCAGCTGGATATTTCATCCACTTCATTGTCTGCTTCTCAATCTTCACCGGTGATGTAGTAGAATCTATGATAACGCAAGAATTTTATTTATTTTAAAAATACCTAAGATCTATATTTTGATAGATTCGTTAAGAACACCACTGTTTTCCCGAAAATAAGAAACAATAGAGACAACTCTCAATTTTTATTAATTAAATCATAAACTAAAATCAGAGTCTCAAAAGATTATATATTAAAAGTCATAAAAACCCTAAAACATTAAAAGATGATTATCTAAATTGAAAATAATTAATAAATTAAACCATAAGATATTTAAAATATTTCCAAATATCTATTTACAACACTTATCACAAACATGCCTTTTCTAATAGAACTGAGGTGGCTGCACCTGTGAACGTCTTTTGTAAATACCATGCTATGACTTTGATTCAAAGCCACGTCCCTTAATAATTGCTCGTTGATAAAGTCTATGTTATCTTCTTCGTAGATATCATGAACTGGATCACTGGTAATATCTCTGTACCTGATTTCTTCACTCTCAGCTAACAAATTCGCCATGATTTAATTTATTGGTAAATACATCTGTAGATATTATTAATTTATTACTGTATTATACTACTGATATATTTACTAATCAACCTATTATTATAAATATCCAAACACACATATTTCTAACTATTGTGAGTCATACGAATCTCTCAATAAAGCTTGAAAACATAACCACCACATTTGTAAAATCTCTCATTTACAGTCAGGCCTTATATATATAAACAAGTGAAATTAGGGATTAATTAGAAATAAACACCAGATAATACTAATATACTAATATTTCATTTGCTCTGAAATTGTATGAATTTTCAGAGCCCTTCCCTCCTGCTTTTTTAAATTTCATGTCATGTACTCTTCTTTAATATTTTCAGTCTTAATATGAAACCCTTTAAAAACACCAGATAAACCGCTTAGGTGTGCGAGATATCAGATATCCATTGCATTTCAAGACCCTGTAATTTTACCTTTTATTACGCTAGTAGATCTCTTTTGGACAACGTTGATAGTATAGCAAAGGAAGATAGAATATGTAAACCAAAATATGTTTTGACTTGGTTTGCTTAATAATACAACAAGTTGACAAAAAAAAAATCAGCTTAGGCACTAAGAAACATATCCAAAATATGAAACGCAAATACATTAGCCTAAAACATATTTCATACTTTTCTCATTACCTTTCCTAAATTCTTCATGAATTTAAACAGATCACATATGATGCCCTATAGATTTCTGTCAAAAAAAAAGAATTACTTGCATTTGGAAATAATTTTGGATTTTTGGTAAAATGATGTAAAAGTAGTATATTAACACCCCCCCCCCCAATATTTTCGAGAACGTGACCCAATGATTTACTCTATTAATGTATTTTTACTTTGGTCAAAATCTAGATATAGAGGATGATTGTTTAAACTGTAGATATAGAAATGTACTGTACGATTTAGTCTATAATTTTTATTTTTATAGCTGTATGTTATTTTGTTGTAGAAAAATATTACAATTTTTAAAGTACTTTAATAGTTATTTTACGAAAAAGTAAAACATGAATAAACAAAAATATTATGGTTGTAGATGATATAGCAAAGCTTTAACTTTAAAAATAAAGCTACATAATTATTGGTTAGGATTTGTATTAAAAAGATAAATAAAGCTAAAATAACAAGTTAAAATTCAACTAATCACCCACTCATTAATTACTTATACATTATTTTCATTTTTTTACCGTAATTATTTTCCATCATTTTTTATAGATGTCGAATATTTTTAGCACTAACAATAATTTATCTAACTTTTATTTTACACTAACCAGTTTTCTTTTCAATCTTTATAATAATATTATTTGTTTACCCGTTTTAGATCACAAGTTTATTTTGCTCCCAAAAAGTTCACACGTTGATTACTACTTATTTAAAAAAAATATTAAGAATATATATCACTTAACCTATCTAATATTTATATTATTTTAACACATTTATATTGAATATTAGTTAACTAAAATAAAATATTTTTGTTGTAAATGAAATTGACCCCGGTTAAATTTTTAATGCTCCGCCATATCAACAACTCTAAATATCAAATTATATTTTTTTGGTGCAATTTCAACTTATATATTGAGGTGTCGTTATCAGAAGAACGAAAATGATTTTTTATTTGCTATTTTAGAATTCATGAAATTTCTTATAAAGGAATTATTAGTTGTTGATATATTCTTATTTTATAAAAATTTAACATTTTGAGATATTATATATAACAAACATATGTAATAATATTTATTTTATACTATATGTTTACTACGAGATTTAAAAAGATTTATGAATTGTTTTATATATTACAAAATCTTTTCATTTCATTCTCCTTTTTTTCTTCCAAGTGGTTTTCTTTAGTACGAGATGGATCCACACCTTGTGGGCTTCCACCTCTCGCGTATCGAAGTTTTGTTCTAAAACATGTTCCGAGAACTTGTATAGAGAAGGAATTACCGCTAAGTAGAAATTATTCCATACCAACTTAGATTCCCAGCGCTGCTATTGTCATAAAAACCAGCACACCATGCTGGCTCAACCCAATTCTCTCGTACTAGGGTTGGCTCCTCGCATTTCTCGCTTTAACACCAATGGTAGAAAAGAACCGAACTGTCTCACGACGTCCTAAACCCAACTCACATACCAATTGAATTGGCGAACAACCGAACCTGTGGGACCTTCTTCAACTCCATGATGTGATGAGTTAACCTCGAGGTGCCAAACGACTCCGTCGATAAGAACTCTTAAGAGCCATCAGTCTGTTATCCCGGTATATCTTTGATCAAAGAAGATTTCCGAACTATTTTATGTATTACAAATCTGATACAAAATGGTAAGAATTATTAATATTTTTTTAATCAAACCGAATTACACATTGAAAAGTTAACATAAACTAATCCAATCAAAATCAGTCTTGGGAAAAGTCAAATGAAACATTGATCTTATGTTCCAATAAAAAGATTGTCTAAACTTCCAAATTTGTTAAAATCTTTAATAAATCACTTATAGCTCACAAAATCTCTGGACCGACCATGATTCTAATTACTAAAATGTTTGTTGGTGTTCTCTGTACTCAAAAGTAAAGCATTTATGTCGTTTCTAGCTAACAAAAACAAACATCCTGTGGTTTTAATAATTATTAAATGACACGACGTTTCTCCTATGAGCCAAAGCCACTGATCCATAGTACGAATTTAAACCCTCGTTGGAAGGGTTTTATCAAAAAAAAAAAGAAAAAAAAAAGTTGTTGACATCGGAGATTAGAGATGGCGACGGAATCATCGGAATCGGAGGAAGAAGGGAAGATCAGAGGAGGAAACGATAAGCTAACGGTAGACGAAGATCTGAGAGAGATGGGGAAGAACGCAGCTTGGAGCGTTAGCTCTTGCAAGCCAGGCAATGGCGTCAACACTCTCCGCGACGACAATCTCGAGACTTATTGGCAGTTAAAACCCTAAATCCCCATTTATCTTTCACTAATCATTTGTTTATCTCAAAGTTTCTTCCTTTTTTGCAGATCAGATGGTTTGCAACCTCATTTGATTAACATTCAGTTCCAGAAGAAAGTGAGATTACAGGTACGATTTTGATCTAGTTTTCTGGGGCAAATGGGGATTCAGATGTTGAGGTTTTGACCCCTTTTTTTGTGATTTGAAAGTTAGTGGCTTTGTACGTAGACTTTAAGCTTGACGAGAGTTATACACCTAGTAAGATCTCTGTTCGTGCTGGTGATGGTTTTCATAACTTAAAGGTATTCTTTTTTTTATTCTAACGAAGGTGTTTTTTTGGCTAGCTTGTGATGTGGATTGGTGTTGATATTTGTTGTCTCCTACTCTTTCAATTGTTTAGGAGGTCAAAAGTGTTGAGCTTGTAAAGCCATCTGGTTGGGTTTCCATATCTCTCTCTGGAGCCGATCCAAGGTATGTACTGAACCATTTAAGATGGAAGAAGCTCTTGCAAGAGCTATTAATATTGCTTAGATAGCGAGTTTCCACTTAGATATCTTGAGATTCCAGTATCAGTCAGCTTTTGAGCCATTTGCCTTTGGGGTTTTGCTTACTAGATGTCTAAATGAACTTGCTTATACCTGTCTGGAATCGATCCACTGTCAAAACTCTGGTTTCTTACTAGTATTCCGTTTTCTTTCCGGATTTTGGAAACAATCTAGCTAGCTGCTGATAAGATGAACGTAGCTTTAAGAACGACTTTCTTCAGTTAATATCTTTCACAAGTTTAGTACTACTTACTTCTTAGATTTTGTCTTTAGCTAGCGAGTTTGCACTCTGAGATATGTTTAGATTCCAGAATCAGTCAGCTTTTGAGCCGTTTGTAATTTGCATTTGGTGTTTAATTATTAAGCAGTGAGCTCATCAGTTTAACAATTGTGTTTCTCTTCACAGGGAAACATTTGTGAATACATTCATGTTGCAAATAGCCATGTTGTCAAATCACCTCAACGGGAGAGATACTCATATCCGCCAGATCAAAGTTTATGGCCCTAGACCGTACGTCTCCCATCTCTCCTTCACCTGACATAAAAATGTACAATTATATACTGTAAATTGAGTTATGGTTGCCTTTGCTTGACTCTTGATCGTGATTGCAGGAATCCTATTCCCCGCCAACCATTTCAGTTTACTTCAATGGAGTTTATCACTTATTCTAATTTGAGATGAGAGCTTTGGGCAAGAGAAGTTTGAAGAACATGGACTGTTGAAGATAATTGCTATTTCATCCCGGGAAGACTCTACTGTCACATTAGGTTTTGAAGCTCAGAATATTATATGTTGTGTAATGACCTCTATTTATATATTACATTGGATATACCAACCACAATATCATTAAGCTTATTCTCACCAAGAGCCCCATCAAATTTTGGTCACAGTGAATTAGGAGAGGCAGGTTTAAAGCATAGTTCAAAGAACTACAACAAGCTACATACAAAAAGCTTCGTCATGCCTTGATGAGTTAACTTTAGCCTTCACAAGCCGGTTTGGTGTCGAGGCTTGAAAAGCAGAGAGGATAGCGACAGTCCATGGTGAAAATGTCCTTGCCGATTTTGCCAAACTGTAAGATAGCTATAACATGTTCTTGAGGGGACACATCTAGAGAAGGGCCAACGTCTGCCACAAGCTGGAAGTTCTTAACTGAAGCAATGGTCACTCTCCCCTTGAAGTTGAGGCACCAGCACTGCAACTGCTCGTGCCACCTTGGTGATTTGTTCTTGCCAACGTCTTTAATGCCTTTAACTACTGATGGCTCAAAAAACAGAAGCGAGTTATCGTCCATAATGCATTTGTCTAAGTCCCCTTGTGCGAAGAATATTGAGCTAGTAGGTTATGTTTCCTGTGGTATAGCTAGTAGCAGGTCATTTACACTTGTCAATTTTCTTATAGTGACCCCATTTCTTAAAATCTGATAGCCAATTGAAAATTCGTTACTCACTCTAGCAATCTGACTAAATACTATGTACTAATTTGATGTTTTGTTCACTAATGTGGGAAGCACTTACTGAAATAGCAATTGATCAGACAATTATCTAACTTAAAGATCAACTAATAATCCATAGTCTAAACAGATTTTGTACATATCAACAAACTTGAATATGAAGTATTTATTTAGTGACTAATCGTTTAGTTTTTTGACTAAGTGACCAACTTAAAAAAACTAACCATTTTGGGTAATAATTTTGTACAAAATAGCTCTACTCTGAACATTTTCATCTGCGTGTGCTGTTCTTGATTGTTTGTCACATATTTGCAAAATGTTGCCAAATTTTGTTTGGTTCTTGCCGAATCCTATCAGTTAACTAATTATAAACTTGTGTCTCGGTTCAGAATATTCATATATCAACTACTCGAATAAAATCTCAAACCAAACCTGGACGTCACTGATACAAAGCCATGAGAAAGTAAACTAGAACACTGCAAGTCTGCAATACACTTGAAAAAATGTATCAAGCTTCCATCAAAGACTAATCAAAAGAAGCAGCAAATCTCCACCAAAACACACTTCAACGAGAAGCAAGCATGGAGATCAAACACACAAGAAGAATGATAACACCCAAAACCGAACCCCAAACAACCCATTTCCTGTTCTTCTTCCTCATCTGATTCGCATAGAACAAACTGTTAGTCCCTCCACTCACAAAGCTCCCTGCAACAGCCACATTAGCTTCAATATCATCAACCCTATCTCCTTGCGTCTCAACAAGAACAGCCATGTCGAGGAACACTTGGTGAAGCCTGTTAAGACTCCTCTTAATGTCATTCACAGCTTCATGTCTCTCTTTGGTCTCCAAATCCATCTCAGCTTTCACTTCAAACGTCTTCACAAGCCCCTCTCCAGACACCATCTTCTCCATGTCCTCGTCACTTGGTTCTTCACCAGTCGCTAAAAAATACTTACTCTTGAGATCTTCTCTGTAATCAGCAAAGATCCTCTCCCTCAAGCGATGGAACTCTCCCATAGTCTCTCTCAGTTTCGCCCTAACACCGTTCGTGATCGCAACACGTGTCCTGTCCGTGCAAGAACCTTCCTTGAAACTCGTGGTCTCGATGGCGTCGATTAGGGTTTTGACTGCGTTTGCCTTGCGTGAGACGGCGACGATGTTGGACTCCATCCTGTCTCTCAACCCGCGGAGGATCTTGGCGCTGTGCGTGGACTTGGTCTCTTCGTTGAGGTGCTTGAGATCGTGTAAGAGATGAGTGATCTCTTCGATTAGGGCTTTGATGGACTCGATCTCTGCGAAGAAACCCGTAGAGAGAGTTTCTTCATTGGCTTCGCCTTTCTCCACGTCACGCTCTGATTCAAGATCGTTCTTGGCTTGTTTCTTGAGTTCCACATAACTTAGGAACGATTTCGTCATCAGATCATTCATCTTTTTTTTTTGGAAGAGAAGAGAGTGATGAAACCCTAGAAACAAGATTTGGGGTTAGGATCTTAACCAAGTGACAGAGACAGATTATTTGAAGATGTGAACTAAGTAAAAGAGAATTACAGTGTACGATTTTGTAAAAGATCGGAACGAAGATCTTCGTTTCTGTTCTCCAAGAAGAAGAACTGCAAAAGAGATGAAAGCGAGTTCAACAATGGCACATTATAGACAGTAGAAACCCTTCGACTACGATAAAGAGCATTCATTACCTAAGGAAATGCTCCTCTCAATCAACTTTGCTACTTTCTCTCTCCTCTTTTCTCGTTCGTACTCTCTCTCTCTCTCAGGCTCTGCGGTTTCTTTTTATGATCAGAAATAAGAATGATTTAAATTTTGAAAGAGAGGAAGTTATAAAGAAGATCTTCAAGAATCCGATTTTTTCAGTTTCATTTTGATCACAAAATTAGCCGTTGCTCTGGAAACGTTTTTTCTTTTTGTGAAGACGCTGTCGTTTTATAACTCAAATTAGCATTAATCACAAAGCGACGCCGTTTCTGCGGCAAAGGAATATAAAAGCTTTGACTTTTTATTGATAGATCATCTGTTTCAGTCAATTATACAAAGAAAGTTTACTTTTACATACGACTAGTTCTTGTTGCAAGTGTTCATGTCATGATGCTTCTTTGGCATATTGCTTTTGTTATTTGATCCATCAGAAACTATTCCACAACCTCTATCTGCAACTAGCGTGAACCATGTCCAAGACCTAACAACAATAGCTTCCAACGTTTCTTTCATAACAGAATGACCATCTATGTTCTTATACATGCATGCTAAACTTGGTATACAATATCCGCAATGTACATCCAAAACTTTCTGTTTTAAAGACTAGAAAAATTCGCAGATATTCATTTCTTTTCCCCAAAATTTTGTTTAATGATGATTTTCAAAATATCCGACAAAAGGTGATTTTGTAGAATTGAATTTAACACCAAAAAAGACTAGGCTACACGAGGCTTCTTCTTCTTTGTCTTCTTGTAATTCTTATGCCACGTCTTATACGTGCCCTTTGTCTTCTTATTAGATGCCTTCGTCTCAGGCTCTGCAATTTCGTCTTCTGCATCCTCCTCCTCATCTTTGTCTCCTTCTATATCAAACAGATCATCCTCGTCTTCTTCATCAGAACTCAACACAAAATCTTCCACAACATCATCTTCTCCTACACCTTCCTCCACTTGCTTCTTCTCTGTTTTACTCTTCCTCTTACGTTTCTTCTTAACTGTCTTCTCTTCTTCCAATTCTTTTTCTCTGCCAACCATACAATTACTTTAGGTTAAAACCATCATAACTACACAAAGATGATGGCTTTACAACATGAAACCTGAGAGATGAGAGAGGAATAATAGAGAGACATACTTGGAGTTACTTCCTGGTAACCAGGAGGAACTGAAAGCTGCAGCACCCTTTTCATTCCTATCTGCTTCATCTTCTTCCTCATCGCTGCTTGGTGCGTTTTTCCCAAACACCGCTGACTCCTCTCCCACGATAACACTGGATAAACCAGACAGATTATTAGTACCAGCAGCTAAACAAAACACTACTGAGCGAGGCCAAAAAAGAAAAGAATAGAAGATGAAAGTGATCAAAATGGTAGAGGAATGCAACTCACTCTGATTCCACCAGTGATTCGTTTCTTTGCTTGGCTCTTTGGCGGATTATCACTGCATACTGCGATAGAGGGCCTTCCCCTGCTTTCTTATCACCCTGAACAGAAGATACCCCAAAGAAGATTCAGAACAAGCCACATTTATATGCTTTTGCAATGATGTCTGATCATGTGTGAGTTTTCGACTGTGAGGGTTTCAGACAACTACTCTATAAATTCAAGCGAATCAAGAGAAACGAGTTACTACACCTCAAGGAATGATGCAGCAGCAGGCTCATTGGGCTGAAAATTTATCGACGCTCTCTTCTTGTTGACAAACTCTGAGTTAGCTTCAATCTGGAGAGAAAGAAAGCAAACGAGTCATCAAAACATCAATATTGTACATATACATTTCATATAAGCTCAGTTCATTTTTTTCAGGGTACCTGACTAATGAGTTGCTTCATTTCTTTCCTAAACCTCTCCGCTTTAGTTGATTTGTAAAAGCTACGCAGCCTTAAGGTCGGAATACAAGAAAGCTCAAAGAAAGCCACGGAATAGCTCCACTGAGTCAAATGCTCCACAAGTTCCTCCACTACAGAATAAACACATGCCTCCTGAAACGCTCTTGTCTTCACTGCCGGTTTACTTACCTAGAAACGAATTTTGACAGCAAAAAAATGTTACTAATTTCACTATTGTCACTTCTTTAAAGGCACAGCCAAGTAAGTTTTCTTTTTACCTTCAGTAGTGTACGTAGGTCGACACCTTTTCCAACACCACCAGTGGGAGGTCTATTGAGTTCTTTCATGTCTAACATGTCCATAAGAAGCATTGAGACGGGTATAAAGGTACCAGTAGAAGAAGCAATCCGGTTCAGCATACTAACACATCTTAGTCTAAGGGGAATATAGCGAGCAGTGGGAACAAGTTTTGCTACACCAGATATTATTTGGGCTAGTGGATAAGCAACTGGTCTGAGTTCAGACTGAGAGCTGTAGGCACAAACAGCTCCGGTCCAAAGCTCAAGACAATGGATGAACTTCCACTGATACACTTTCCGAAATGCTTCCTGAAGAAACAACCAAATGTAAACTAAGAGTTAAAGCAACTTTTCACACAACATGCAAGTGTTGAACAGAAGAACTCAGTACTTTTGTTTTTGTGTTGAGCGCTTCACGTAGAATCATTGCCAGTTGCCTTATGAAGACAAACGCATGCTGATATGAAGCAGAGATATCTGTACCGATAAGCTCAATGAAGCAGTTCCCAAGAAAGGAGATATGCTGCAATTTAACAGCATTCACAAACTGGCAATTCAACACATACGCTTTGTACATTCCCTTGATGCAGTCATCCACACAGTCAGTTCCAAGGCGTATGCACAAATCCCTCAGGAACAACAGCGAAACAACAGAGATGGCGCTACTTCCGGTTCCCCAGAAATGAAGTGCAACCTAAATGAAACAAGATCAATCAGCAAAGAAAGAACCAAAAGGAAACATACACAGAATGATACTTTTGGCTCTCAACACACCTTAATATATTTCCTAAGGAGGCTTGGAAAGGCAGATAGAAAGACCGATGAGTGTTTCAAACGCCTGAGAGTAAACGATATCATCCCTGGATCAGTCATCTGGTTCAGAACGTGAAGTGAGTTCCCGAGATATGATTTAACCAAGTGATTATAGTTCTTCCAGGGCCTTGTGTTCGTCAGTTCCATAATAGTATCTTTCATACCTCCAGTTGCAGGAAGCCTTAACAACTTCCGAAGAATCCCATCCATCTCACTCAAAACATAAATCATTATCTTATTGAACACAGCACTCGACATAACGCTGAACTTTGCAGATGGGTCGTCTCCGGTATCATCACCGTAGTGACAGGCAGTTCTATAAGCTCTCAAGATAGAACGCACTGCCCCTAGCTTAGCGTCTTCTCGGATTGATTTACACCATGAATCAACCATGGCTGCTGTAATCGTTTTCTGCTCGCTTACTTTCTTTGCAACTCCCAGCTCGGAGGTTTCATCAACACCTTGCTTCTCAGTGTCTTCCAAATCAGTATCAGCATCATCCTAACCAAAGATAAAAAGCTTTGAGCACAATTCGCATCCAATATGTTCAAATCTGCTTGACATACTCACCTCGAACTCGGCAGCATCAAACTTTAGAAGATCTTCATCATGCTCTTTCATATACTCAAAAAACTCAGCTTGCTGCAGAAAGAGAACATCAAGAGTCAAAACCTTCCAAAATATTATTACAATCACAGACAGATAACATGTTTCTTTTTAAATGATTAAGGATGTTCTGTGTACATCAACTCAGCTAGTAGTTAGTAACATAATACAAGAAGACTCACAGTTTCCTGAAGCCTCTTAAGTTGTTCCTCATGCTCCTCAGCTTCTGCTTTCTTAGATTTCAACTTCTTCTCATTGCTTATCTTATGCATTGATGTACCATCTACTACATCCTTTGCTTTCTTCTTAGACTTTAACTTCTTCATTCCATGCTTTCTACCGCTCATCTGATCTATTGATACACCATCTACATCCCATAGACCGTTTATCAACGAAAATTGCAATGAAGATGTATATTTTATTTTTGCTGCATAAGAGAAAAAAACTAACCTTTGGTACCCATTGCGTAACACACAACTCCCGAGAATCACCTGCAATCTTAACCAAATTCAAATTTGAAAATTGAACTTATAGTTTCGCGAATTCAAACAGGAATCGAGGAAAGGAGACGCACCGGTAACGGAGATACCAGTTGACAGGGAGAAACAAACTAGGGCTTTAGGAGAGGTTCTATTCTTTTAATTTCTTTAAACCGTATTATGTAATTCAAACCGAACAACCCGGTTGGGTTTTTCAATCTATACTATACTATATAAAACTTGAAAAAATATGTTCACAAAGGATTCAAATGCTAGTAGTTCATATTTAAAAACTTATACACTTAGCTCTGAATTCGAATGCAACATAATTTCTTGCTTGCCGTACATGCATAATCGTTTGTAGATCCAGATGTTACCGGAAGAGTTCATCACCGTAAAATTATTCATTAAGATCACATATGTTAATTATATGACAATTTAATTGTTACCCAATGTTTAAAAAAAAATTAAAACTATCACATCAGTTATCAATCGTTATCTTGATTTATTATATATAGATGACAATAATTTCTTCAGAATAAATAAAAATCAAAATCTATATTATAATGATACACTTTAAAGACTCCTTAAGGTATCCATATAGGCAGATTGTGGATCCTACATTTTTATATTAAAATAAATAGTTGTTTTAAAATGATTACAAACAAAGAATATCAGTTTAGTCAAGTGGTCTAAGACCCCATGTTTGGTCTCCAAAGACATGGGTTCAATTTCCACTGCTCTCATGCATAAACCAATTAATGTCATCATCATAAAAATATTTTTTAAACACACATATTCTTGGTAAGATGGTTACAAACAATGAAATACACTTTAGCCAAGTGGTATAAGGTGTCTAATTAAGTATACAAGATTGTGGGTTCAAACCACGCAGCTATCATGTATTTTTGATTTTCTTTTTATTTAGGTTATTATCATATGGGTTTTTTGTTTATAAGGTTCTTATGTTTTTTTGTGGGCTTATTGTTTTAAAGATCAAAATAGTTGTATAAACCCTAAACCTTAATAAGTTCAAACCCAAAATAGTTAAAAATGAATCCAAAACGAATAATAAAACAAAAAACAAAAAAAAACAAGTCTCACGTGGTTGCCTACGCGGTTAAAACTATCATATTATAATATAGCTCAACCCAAAAATAATAAAAAATAAATCCAAAAACGAACAGACAAAAAAAAAGTGAATTCCACGCGGGTGCATACGTGGATGGCTTAATGAGGGTTGAATAATATAGATTAGGAGTTCAAAAAGTTAAACCATTGCAAATATTTCCTAATATATATTTTCAAAAGATTTGTATGTGAGATAAAATAAAATAAAACAACAAAAATTAATTATTTTCGTTATTATTAAATGAATATATAATTTCTCTTACGTTTTAATAACTACTATAATTTCCTGAAAACATTACTCACCACCGATTCCAGACTCCGACGAATGGATTCCCACAGTCGATGATGCCGTAGATAAAAATGCCACATCATTTATGAACAAAACTCAAACTTACAAAAAACCATATATAAAAGCCTATCTAATGAAACTTAAACAACGAATATTAACTTAATTAAGGTTATTTTCAAATTGATAATCGTTTAATACAAATATAAATACTATAAACATAGAATTATATCAAGTTTTGATCTACGATATAAAAACTATTTACAGCAAAAAAAAATACACCTACTTTTACACACTAAAAACTATATTATAGCCTAACTATTCCTATAAACCTTACTTCGCATATAAATAACATTTAACACATTCCTAATATTTTTCAAAAAAAATTGTATGTGAAATAAAATAAACAACAAAATTTAAGTAAGTTATTTATTAAATGAATATGTAATTTCTCTTACATTTTAATAACTACTATAATTTCATTGAAAACATTTCTCACCACCGACTCCAGATTTCGGCGAATGAATTCCCACAGTCGATGACTCCGTAGATAAAAATGCCACATCATTTATGAACAAAACCGAAACTTACAAANTTACAAAAAACCATATATAAAAACCTATCTAATGAAACTTAAACAACGAATATTAACTTAATTAAGGTTATTTTCATATTGATAAATCGTTTAATACAAATATAAATACTATAAATATAGAATTATATCAAGTTTTGACATACGATATAAAAACATGAAATTTTCCATTTCATTATTAATTGGTGTCATTAGAAGAATCTACTAAACCAACAATCAAAAAACTACACGCAAACATAATGATCCCGGCCCCGCGCTTGCGCGGAGAATATGCAACTAGTAAAACGAATGAGGTAACCTAACAAAAATAAAAACATTAAAAATAAGCATTGATATTAGCTACCATAACTGATAGGTTGATAAATTTCTTAAAATATCATAAGTTGACTATCACTTTTCAAAAAATACTTTAATTTAAAGTTCATGGTTTAGTGCTTATTGTTAGAGGTTTAATAAATTTAAAATACTTTCTGATTATTAATCAGAAACTGATGCCTTGTGATAATAACAACTGATCTTAACCAAGGCTCTGAAATTAAATTGTAACACCCGCCTCCCCCATAACTAACTTGGGTGTTCAGAGCTAGAGGCTAGAGACAAGTGTAGGGGGAGATTGGTTGGGATGTAGCTGGTAACTTGAATTTTAATTTACATCTACAATTATAAAAGTTATCAATCATGTTTTATCTAGTGTTTAAAACTAAAGTAAAAAATTTTAAAAAATGACTGTAGAACATTTGTTTTCTAAAACACAATTTTGTATGTTGTAGAGAAAAAATATTGTTATGTATATCTTTCCATATTTGCTACTTTACTCATTTAGTTCTTAAAGCTATAGGTAAGTCTAAAAATCTTAATGATAAAATTTTACAGTAAAATTTTCACAGATACATCCCAACTAATCACTTCCGTACATCCCAACTAATCACTTCCGTACATCACAAGACAAGCCACCTTGTCCCGCCATCAGTCCTAGAACTCAGATATATTTCCTTTTGTTTAAGTGCACCAACACAATCATATCTGTCACTTTTACTTATATTTTTACAACGAGGAGAAATGGAAAAGGAGAGATGAGGAGATGGAATGCTCGAAGAGATAGGTTCTAGACCAGCTTTTCCTCATGAGCAATGATACAACTCAATGCAGAACGAGGCTAACTAGTCGAAGCAATAAGATTCAAGTCAACATTACCGTCACTACATGTTATCACCAAACACACATAATCAAAACTACAATTCATCACACTCCTTACTTCCCACAATTGTCCCCTAGATCACATGTTGGTACACGCAGCGGGCCACTGTTGTCCCACACGGCTGATGCCCGTATACATAGTGCACAGTGCCGTGCCACAGTGTAAAAAAATGAAACCTTCGCTTATGGCAACAAAATATTTTAAAAAATTGAGGGCATCATCTATTACTATGAGAACCATAATTTTATAAGAATTTGTATCACTCGATGAAAGCACTATAATAATTAGGATTTTGAAAACATGGGCTTATAAATATATGAGTTTCCTAAGCTAGCATGTACACAATTGTTTTTGATAATTAACTAATAAGAGTAATTAGATGTAGGATTATAGTTTTGAATGCCTTTTTGAAATATTGGAAAATAAAATTGATACAATTCTATCTTTTTCGATTATGGCATTAAAACATTTAAGTTAATAATCTTAGCTTTAAAATTAGTTATAAAATTTAATACTTAATTAATATTTTTGTAATAATAAAAGAATCTTGTTCTTTTTTGAAACACAATGAATCTTTTTATATAATTGATAATTTGTTTGTTAGTTTAATTCTCTATAGTTTCTTCTCTATTATAAGGTATATTATTATTTTTATTATAGAGATTTTTATGATTCGGCTTCTGGCCACAAAAAAATGCTCGCACGGCTCTGATAGTGCACCTACTTTCCCAATCGGAATTCCTCTCATTCACACACCTCTTTTTCACCTTCTCCACCAGTCCACACTTCTGATCAATTACAAACATCATAAAATCACATCCTAACATCATTCACCAAAACCATTACATGCACCTAATATCCTACTCTTGCAGTTCTTTATAATAATAACCTAGCTCAACACAATTCTTAAACAAAATATAAAGCAGTCTCAATCAATAACACGATCGATCTTTCACATTAACACAATTAGTTCATCAAGTGATTTGACAATATGGGCGTTCTTATGCAGTATGTGATATGCATTAACAACCTTGATGCATTTATGATAAATCAACCTAACATCAAACAAGACTAACCAAACCTAATTTTAACATTAGGCAATAACTGAAGATCTGGAGAAGATTCATCTGAAAAAGAAGTAAATATGCAGACAAGGAAGGACGATGAACAATAACAAGTAAGCTCGGACCAGTGGTGGTGTGCGGCTCCGGTCAAGAGCGATGGTGGTCTGGGGGATTTTTGTGATGGCGCATGGTGAGGAGAGAGAGAGACGACAGCGCAAAGGATGGAGAGAGAGAGAGAGAGAGAGAGAGAGAGAGAGAGAGAGAGAGAGAGAGAGAGAGAGAGAGAGAGAGAGAGAGTGAGAGTGAGAGAGAGAGAGATAGATAGAGATAGAGATATATATATATATATAGAGAGAGAGATAGAGAATCATTGAAGGTTATATGGTTTTTTGATCCCTTTGGGACTCTGCATGACTTTGTTCTAGATTTTTTTTGGAGAAGAAAAGAGATGGAGATATTCATTTATAAGAAAAATAAGATAAGACCATATGTTTAACCCTAATGAGCCTTAGAGCATCCACATCAGTGAACCTCTCCTTAGGGGTTCACACAAATAAAAAATTAATTTTTTTCGTTTACTTTAAAATAAAAAAATTAATAATGGACCAATCAGAGACTGACACGTGGTGAACCCGGGGTCATCGGGGTTCACCGCATTGAACTTTTGAGAGAGGGGTTCATAGAAATCTGATTTTAATATTAATTTTTTTTTTTGGTTTGCGTGTGAACTCCCCCCATCATCCCTTGATGGGGGTGCTCTTAGACCAAGCATCTTATATATCAAACTCAGAAGTCATGACTTCATTCATGTGTAATCTTTTTAATTTAGACCATTCTTAGAGTCTTT